CCTGCTCAGCACGCGAGTCACCGCTCTCGGGACCAATGGGCGGTGTGGACAGGCGCGCGGCTGGGGCGGGGCCTACGCGACCCCGCCCCACGCACCGCCGGCCCCCTCTGTTCTCCTCCCCTTCCTTTTGGAGGACCCCAGCCCCACGCAAGACTGCCCGTACGGCTCACAATGTGAGGTTGGAGTGCGACCTGATGGCAAGAAAGGCCAGGGAGGGCGGGGGTGAGTGTTTGCCAGAGGCCTCCTCCTCAGCCTCGCCTGGGTTTTCTGCACCGAACTACCAATCCCCGGTGCCACGACAGCGCTGCTCAGCTCTGGGCTTTTAAAGCTTCGGCTGTTTTCAAACCTAAAGTTCGCCAGCTAGCAAACCTTGCCCCAAGGGGCTCTCCAACACACACATTTCCCCAGGGGCCAGCCACACATAGCTAACCCCGCAGGGTAGGAGGCACACCACAGCAGAGACAGCCCCTGCTTAAATTTTCCCCCAAATTTCCTCTTGGCTCAGATAGGCAGGTTTAGACAAGGCATGGTGGTGGCAGGACTACATGCTCAGGGAGCCAGAGGTTGGTGTCAAGACTGCTGAGAGTCTGGGCCCTTGTTAAAGATCACAGCTGGGCCTGGTGTGGTCCCAGCCCCACCCCAACTCCATGCTGCAGATGGCACTCCAAAACTTACTGCTGGCAAAATGCAAGGGGTTCAGAAGGAGCAGACACCAGCAACCGGCCCAACTTCAGACTCAACTATCTGCCTGGGGTTGGACATGCAGCCCTTCAGAAGCCCTCCCAGGTCCAGGGCTCCGAGCATAGCCCAGGAAGACAACCCTAGCTCCTTGAGGCAAGCACAATGCCCTGCCTTGCTCTGGGGAAACCACTTCCTTACAGCAACCCACAGACAGCAGATTTCCTTCTCAGGGGCTCACTGAAAGTCTTTGCAATGACAAACTTACTCTATGACTCAGGGCAGTTTTGCCCATTAGAAAAGTGGTGTAGGAAAAGATCTTATTTATCCCCACAGAACAACAGAGGAGCAGAAGTGGTAGAGAAACAGACATGAGGCTGGACTTGCCAAAGTTCCCTCCTTGCTGCTGTTTGGGGAACTTGGCTAAACACCCAGGTTTTGGCTCCAACCATCCAAACTGAGGGGTGGAGTAAAGACGATGGTGATGGAAGGCAATGGAAAACTGAAGAGTCTGTTAAATTTTTATTTTGTAATCAAAATAGGCAATACAAACCAGTTGACATAACAAGGATTCATATAAATAACTGCTTATAAACTTTATGAGGAAAAATACCCGTGAGCATAGTGGCTGGGCTCCCAATACAGGGTGGAGACCAACCAGGCAGCTCTGTTTTCAGGAGGCAGGAGCCCAGAGGCTGAGAGGACTGGCTGGGTGGGGCTGTTCTGAATGGAAGGGATAAGTCACTCCATAAATAAAACACAGACTTGTAAAAACACTTAAGAGTCTCATTCAGGCCCAGGAGTGAGGTCCAGGACGCTGCCCTGCCAGTCCAAAGCTTAGCAAGAATCTCCCAGTGGCTGACTCTGGGCTCCTGAACTGCTCAGTGCTCCCCGCTACCCACACACAGCCCTGGCTTGGCCTGGCTCCAGATCTAGAGGAGGTTGGGGGCTGGCCCAACAACCAGATACAAACAATTGTGAGAAGCTCCCTCAACAAGGAGGCAAGAGAAACCAGAAAGCAGAGGGTCCAAAGGCCCCAGAGAAACAAACAACAGAAAACATTGAAAGCTGTATCTTAAAGCTGACCTATACTGGGTACTCTGACCTCTCAAGGAGCCTAGAGCAGGAAAAGGAAAGGACACACAACCCCAAATGCAAGAGAGGCACAAATCAGAAGGCTGAGCACTGGCTGAGCCCTCAGGGAAGGGGGTGAGCAGCTTGACAGTTGCCCTGTGGTATCCTGGGGGAAAATCCTGCCCAAACCCAGAACCATAGAGAAGAGTTTGCACTCAAAGCCCAAGAAAGGAGCTGCCCAGCTGGCCTGAGAACAAAGGAGAAGGGGGCTGTGCTAACCACATGACTAGGGCACAGGGCGACTAGAGTAGGGTCTCCTGTAAAGGGCATGGCAGCACATATAAAGAGGTCCTCGTTATAATCCCTAGGCCCCCAAGTGAGTACTTTGCTAATGAATAGATCACCCTGAGGCATCTGTGAGGACAAGAGCCCTGAGGAAGAAGCAGAGGAACTGGGCCTAAGAAAAGCCAGAGCCAACTCAGTTCCCAGGAAGGCTGATACATGGGGCCTGAGAATTCTCAAATGGCCGTTGTTACTGGTATTCAGCCATTCCCAGCCCCTCTAAAGAACTCTGGGCATCACCAATACCAAGGTATGGAGAGGGAATGAATGTGGATCCACCCCAAAGGATGGAGAAGGGAGGTGAGCAGCCTGTTTGCCTGTGACGTCAGTCTGTGGCTAGGAATAGTCTGTGAGGACTTACCAGTTCACCTGCAAAAGTTAATTAGTAACTCACCCTCAAAGGGTGAATCAGGATGACAGGAGAAATGCAATCCAACAAAGCAAAGCCAGTGCAGGGCAGGACAAACAAAATTCTCTAATCAGCCCTTGGCCCTAGATGCAGGCTTGTACCTCCCCTCCACCCCTTCTCTCTGGGAATAGCAGCAGATAGGAGGCAAGAGATTGTCAGGGCAGGACCTGCTAGACCAGGCTTTCAACAGACCAGATTCTCCCTAGGGGAATACAGCCTGTCCCACCCCCAGCATTCCTCACTGTGTGACACAGTTTTCTCCCATGTCCTGGGCGTATCTGTCTGACATGATGGTCCTTAAGTCCTCAATGTCACGGCGTAGCTGTTGAACCTCTTCTAGTTTCCTCCTGATCACATCTGGCTTCTGCAAATCTAGGTGAGTCCCTGGGTGCTGTGCAGCTGGGGGAGGAGAGCATTTAGAGAGAATATTATTAGTAAGTCAGTCAGGAGATACTTTTATGTGGAGGGGGCAGTATGAACAGGCAGTACTCTGAGGTCCAGAGTCTTAGAACACGGCACTTTTTAAAAAACAGCTAGGGATAATGGGGTGAAAGCTTGCTTCCTAGTGGCCACTTTTTCTCTGTCTTGCATCCAGGTACCCCAAAAGGATGTCTGTTTCCAAAACAGATTTACCCAATGGCTACTCTTCAAAACACATAAACTCCCAGAGGGTGGTGACCAGGCCCATGGAGCCTGGTTCACACATTGCCATAAGGACAGGAAAAGTGCATAGGAGTGAGAGCAGAATGAAAGCTACTCTTTCCTGTATCCCAGACTGGCCTAAGGACTCACAGTGAATGCCCAGGAGCAGGGAGAGATTGGGGTCACGGCCCTGGGCCCTCTGGGTCACAATGCTACAGACAGCCTGCAGATCTTGAAGACAACTGGCCAATTCCTGGTGCAGCTCAAATGCCAGCTGGGCTGTGTCTGATGAAGATGGGGACCCTGGTTGGGCCTGCCGCAGGTGTTCTTGGAGCGTGAGATTCTTTTCAATCAGGTCCTGGTTCTGTACTGAAAGCTGAGCAGACAGACAGGTGAACACATTAACCCAGGCCCAGGGAAAAGGGAAGTACCCGTCCATGAATGTGGATATATGTGTGTGGACGAGAAACTATGAGTCAAAGGCCATGTCCCCACCTCCTCCCCACCTCTACCCAATAGGCTATGCACTTCCCCCTTCCTCCCCAGTATCAGCCCTAGTTTCTCCTGCAGATAGGCTGGGCCCACAGGGCTGCAGCATTGGAGAGGAAGCTGCTCCCTAGCAGACTGAGTCATCAGCCTCCCGGTTTCTGTTCAGGAACCAGAAGATACTCCTAACCCTCGGAACTCTATCTGAAGCCAGTCCCTCAGCCAACTCTGTTAGCCAGGCTATTAGAGAAGGCTTAACGTGAAATCTGAGGAGACACTGGTTTCAATCTCTCCCTGCCACCCTGACAAAAGTGGCCACCAGCCAGCCTGATCAGAGTGTGTCAGAGGAATAAAGGGGGCAAGAAAGATAATATGACATGGGGGGAGGGTATAGTTCAGTGGTAGAGTACATGCTTAGAATAAATGCACAAGGTCCTGGGTTCAATACCCAGTACCTCCATTAAAAAAAAACTAAAATAAATGAATAAACCCAATTACCTCCCATCTCAAAACAAAACAAAACAAAGACAACACGACAGCTAGCGGCCACTGTGTGGGTGGGCTGGAGAAGCTGGGGACCTGGAGGACACAGTGCTGGAATGTGTTCTGCCTTTTCAGATCTTCACCTCAGTAGAGTCAGGCTTCACTACATAAACCAGCTATTAATGTGTATCTGTGTCTTTTTCCCTCCTTTTTCCCAGAACAACTTAATGCATTCTCCTTCCCTTCCTACCTCTACTCTGTTTTAAAGACACTGAATAGAGTTCCTCCTCCAGTCCCAGCCCTTCACCCACACTGGGCCACGTGACAATCTTAGCTCTGGGAGACCCCTTCCTGGGCACTTGTCCAGTGAACTTGGCTGCCCCCTGCTGACAGCTGTTTACTCCATGAGGATCACCAAACCTTCAGTCTTCTTGAACCCTTCATCCCCAACCAACCCCACAAACCTGTGGCTGCAGGAAGACAAAATAAGAGAATGGTTTTCTATATCCAAAAAGCCCTCCTGGGTAATTACGGCCACTCAAAGACAGGATTACAACCTTTAATATAAAGGATGATGCAATGTATCTTCTTACTCCTCTGTCAAAAAAAGCTTAGCAGGGATCTCTCAAACATGGGAACTCTTGTGGGAGGAGGGCTGGGGAGGATACACAGAGAAATCAGGTTTGTAAAGGCAGTACCAAGAGGCCTCACTGATGCTGCTCACCTCTTTCACAGCTGTACGCAGCTGCTGCAGGGCTGTCTCCCTCCGTTGGGCCTCTTCTTTCAGGGCCTGGCTTGTTCCTTCTTCCTGAGCTACTTCTTGCTCTAGGCTCTGAATTCCAGAGCAAGGAGAGTGAAAGAACACATCAGGGGTAACAAGTCTGTTTCAGACCATACTGTCTCTGGTCTGGACTCTATAGTAAAGCTTCACCCCGCCCATGCACTGTTGCTAAGAGATTATTTTAGAACAGCCCTGATCTGTGACTTCCCTCCAAAACCTTCTTCTAGCCACTGACCATGTACCAATAAAGGCCAGGTCCTCAGCAGGGCATTCCAGGACAGTCTGACCCTTACCTACTTTTCGATCCGTATCTCTTTTTATCCCTCCACATAGCCTCCACTCCAGCCACACGAAGTGACTGACTGGCTTTCAACCCCAGAGATTCCAGCTCCAGTGCTGTTGTTCACTTCTCTTCCCCTTTGCCCAGACTGCTCCTCTGATCTGCCTGTCACCCAGGAAACCTCCTAGGCCCACCTGAGTCTTCCTCAATCTGCAAATCGGATCCAATCCCAACCTTGCCCTACCTCCATGATGGCTCATGAGTACATTCATTGGCTGTGCATATGGTTCCTCCCCTCCACTAGACCATAACTTTACTGAGGGCAAGGAACGTCCAATTGAGTTCAATTATTTATTGAGCACTTACTATTGACAGGCACTGGGATACTGAAAAGAATACCAAACAGTTTCTATCTTTGAGGAGCTCACAGCCAAATGCCCTTGACAATACTGTATATGAAATGCTTCAGACAGAGATGAGAGATGTGAGAGAGCACTCTCACAGCACCTATCTAGTTATAATGTGTATCTGTGTATATGTGTGTTTGTGTGTAGGGGTAGTCAGGGTCAGGGGAGGGAGGTATTTATATCTGTTATCTTCTGCGTCTCATTCTATTCATTCTAATTCCTCCCCACCTCCACCCCCGCATTTGGAAACTGATTTGAACAACTAAAGTATAAATAATATTTCTGAATTTTTCTATTTTGTATTAATATAAAACTTTACAGCCAAGGAGAACATCTCGCCACCACAAAATACCCATCACAACTTTGAATCCACCTAATTCCACCAAATTCACCTGACATTTTAATTTGTTTGAGACGTCTCATCATGAATAAGTGTACCATTTAAAATGCTGGGGGGGGGTGTTTAGCTCAGTGGTAGGGTGCGTGCTTAGCATGCATGAGATCCTGGGTTCAAGCCCCAGTACCTCTAATGATGATGATGATGATGATGATGATGATGATGATGATGACAATAATAATAATAATAATAATAATAATAATAATAATAATAATAATAAAAACAACTTAATCCCTCCAAAAAAAATATTGTGGAACCTCAGGGTTCCAGGAAGGATACTTTGAGATCCATTAAAAACTCTACTAAAATCCTGGGATTTTGAATGGATATAAACACTCACTAGGCTTGACTATCTCCTTACAAGACTTGAAATACATGAGCTAAACAAACCCACGTAGTGGCAAAGGTAGGACTGCAGCTTTCAGTTGTTCCTCGGAGTGAGTGCATCTCACCCATTTTGGTATGAAAACGTCTTTTAGGGTCTAAAGAGAACCTAAGTGAACCTGGTGTACTTAGGATTTCTTGGCGAACCCAATTAAGGACACTCCCACTCTGGCCCAAAATAGAAACCAGTTGTCTGATTTTTCCTTATTCTTCAACCCCCTACATTCTGTCAGTCACTGATTCCTCTCAATTTTACCTCCTAAAATTCATTTAAATCTGTCCCTTCACATCTCCTCCTTGCTGTGCTGCCTTGTGCATCATCCTTCATCATCTTTTGCTAGGATTTCTGCAATAGTCCACTGGCCTCTAGCCTTGCCTCTCTCCAAGTGCCAATCATCTTCCACACTCAAGCCTGAGTTGTAAACCTGACCACATCACACCCTGACTAAATGTCGATTCCTATCACCTACCTAAAAAATAAAAGCTAACTTAGTAGGATAGACAGACCCCTCCCATAGCCCAGTTCTCATTCATCTTACTTACTTCAACAATACCAAACTGCTTGCAGCTTCACATGCAAACCCTGCTGTTTCATGCCTTCATGTACCTACCATGCTGTTCCTTCTATCAGGAATTCCAATACCATCCTATCCCACTCCTCTTCTTTGCCTGGCTAACTCCTCCTCGTCCTTCAAGGTTCATGATCTCCAGAAACGCTTCCTTGGCCTCCCCACTTCCACTGACCCTTCTATGCTCCCCCAGGGTAATATGGACATTGCTCTCTCAGTACTGTGCTGAAACCTCTTCCCAAAAAGGCTGTAGGCTATAAGCACTGATTGGGTCTCATTCTTGTACACCTAACACCAAGCAAATTGCATAGCATAGAATAAAGTGTTGGCTGAATTTCAGAGATTCCACCATTAAATCCTGCCCACCATGTCCCAAGGACTCCAGCTCACCTGTACTTGTGAATGCAACTGGTCAATCTTCTGCTGTTGCTTCTCCACAATCTGAAAGGCAAAGTTATCACGGAAGGCTGTAAGCACATGCTGACAGTGAGGTCAGAGGGCAAGAGGCTACACTATGATCTGTGGTCTGGCTATTAGGCTACAGCCGGTCAATAGTGAGAACAGGGTGAAGACAAGTTAGCTCTACCTACAGACATATAACCCAGACTCTATCCTGATTAACTAGTTTCACATTCGTGTGCTCCAGCCACAAAGAAGTTTAAACAAAGAGAAATCTATGACGACCATGGGGAAGTAGGGTGGAGAGAGACACTCCCACCATGATGACTGTAGGACAGTGGAATCAATTTCATATAAAGCCAGTGTACATTCTGGTTCTCTGATAAAGGACATGGCTAAAAATTACTGAAGCCTGCCCTATCCAAGGCTATGAAAGTTATCATTACTTATAGTTTTGGTCACACTGACTATCCAAGAAGAGAGCTAAACAGGCCCAGTTTCCTGTCCTTTGAGACCTCAGGTTTCCTCCGAACCATTTCTGAGTCTTTTTTGCTGACTTTCCATCTCACTGGCAGGCCCAGGGTTCCTTCTTCTCTGCTGAGAAGGGCCATCTCTCTGGTTAGAACTCTGCCCAATGCAAGAGATCCTGTATAGGGCTTGAGCCATGAATGAAGTGCACCAACCTTTAGTGCACAACTTTGGAGCATCAAGTCTGGATGTTCATGTCCTCCCTAACTTTGCTTGCCTATCATAAGGATGAACATCTAAAATGGAAATTTATTATGCAGGGGCAACTTCTTGGAAAATAGAGAAAAGCTCTGGGTAGCAGATCCTAAGTGGCTCATGGTTCCTTACCAATACACAATCTTTTCTTTTGTCTAAGCCTACCCCCTGTTACAGCCTGGACATCCTCAGTCACCTTCCGAAGGGAATCACATTCCTTCTGCCAGGACTCCATTTTCACTTTGGAATCTTCTCTCAGTTGAGCTGGACCTTCTCCACTGGCCTCCTCCACACACTGCTTATCTTGCAGGCTGAAAGATAGTGATCTCTTAAGAACTCTAAAGGAAGAGAGATGTGGCTTTGACTCCTGATTCTGCTATTTATTGTATGTTTTGAGGCAAGAGACTCAGGCCCTTCCAAGCCATAGTAGGGGATAATGTCTCAGGTCTGTCTGTTGTAATGGAGGGAGTGCCACACAGAAGCTGCTTGCTCAGTCTAGGTTAGTTCCCTTCCCTAACAGCCAGCATTCATATGATGTGTCACCAATTCTCTACCTGCCCAAGGCTTTTATTCTTTGTTTTGATATTTAAAAATAAACATTCATCACATGTATTTAAATTATAAAAAGTCATACATCTACATTGCAGAAATTTTGAAAAATATCAAAAAAATATTTTTCTTTGCGGTCTGGTGCAGAGCCAACTTTGTCCCCTATCCTTGCTTCCGCTTCCAACAAGTCTGATCCCATGAATCCCCACACTTTCATCACGGCCCATCTGCTGAGATAAACAACAGGGTCACTGTGGTTGAATATGGGATGAGAAATCCAATCCATCCCATTAGAAACTGGATTTGGTCCAAGAGGCTGTTGAAACATAGCCACCACATTTTCAGGAACTGCTATTAATATGGAGGAGGCTCTCAAGACACCCTGAGAGTAATTATGGCATCTTGTTTTGTTCTCAGAACCTGCTCTGGCAATTGAGAACAATCCCTAAGGCTAAGGAGAAACAGATGCTCCTGGTAGTCTTTATCTTATAAGGTTCAAAATGTGGATAACCTCAGTACTCAGCACTAGGATCTACTTTTGCAAATATACAGATACTCATTTTCCAGTTTATAAAGTACTCCTGTCCATTCAACACATATATATTCAAGGATTATTATCCAGTATTACTATGCCAGGCACTGGGTTGGATCCTTCCAAAGGATACAGGGACAAACCCCACTGCACCTCCCACATTCTATGTCAAAGACATATCCTTGCCCATAAGCAGCTTTCCTGTTACTTATAATTCAAAGAAAATGAAGCTCAGAGAAGTAAAGGGATTTGTCTAAAGTCACACAGGTAGTGAGTGGGGAGCCAGAATCAGAACCTAGCTCTCCACTTCTTTCCTCATCCCCACAGGAGTATTCACCTATGTCTAGTAGAGAATTCTGCTTCCCTCTGTCTGAGGCTTTCCAGTTGAACCTCCTTCTCTCTGCAGGCTGCCTGGGTCTCCTCCAGCAAACTCTCCAGCTCAGTCACTCTCTCCTGCAGCTCTGTGCTCTTCAACTCAGAATCCTTAAGCTGAAAGACAGGATTCCATGCTTAGGTCAACAAGCCAAGGAAGATTCTGTCTGAATATCTTAAAAAATTTGCAGTTCAGTTGTGATGTGAGTCTGGACATGACTCCTTTGGGACTTTCCTTTCAGGAAGCCACAGGGTAACTGCACGTAGCAGAGGCTGAACAGTCCCCCTGCTTGCCCCACATTGCTGCTACCTGCTGGCTCTGCTTCTGATGGTCTTCCAGGGTGGGCAGGTCAGCCAGGTAGCGCTCCAAGGTCTCAATACGTTGCTGCTTCTCCCGGTTCTGCTCTGATTCCTTCTGACATTTCTTTTTCAAATTATTAATATGCTTATCACGACCCTTGACCTAGGAAAAGAAATATCAAGAATCTTGTCTCCACTGACTCCTCTACGACCTTGAACATCAGCTTTTTTCCAAGTGACCACTGTCTTTGCCCTTAGGGCTGTGTATGTTTTCTACTACAATTAAGGCAGGAATCTGATCAAATTTTGCCATTTGAGATTAGGGCATAAACTACAGAGTTAACATATAAGAACTTTCCAATCAAGGGCAAGGGAGAAAAGCTCCTTGGGAAGTTTTTAAAAATTGGTAGCTCTACTGTATAATAAAGAACTTCTCTGGTCTTTGTCCCAGGTCCCTGAGAGGTAACTTCTAAACTCTTAGCACCTTCTGAAACAGCCTCTACTCTATGTAGTATGTATCTCTCTAAATAAATCTACCCTTACTCAAAAAAACCAAAAAACAAAACAAACAAAAAACCTCATAGAATTTCCCAAGTAATAGAAAAGGAGGGTCTTTGTTATCCACAGTGGGCCCAAGCCCACCATAAATGCATTTCTGCTAATGAGATGACTCAGAATGGGGGCTGGTCACTATAAAGACAAATAGAGTTGAGCCCAACTTCCTGTGAGGAAGGGGAAAGGACTGGAGATTGAGGTCAATCATGCCTACATAATAAAATCCAATTAAAAAACTCTGGACACTGAAGCTCAGTGGAGCTTCCTGGTTGGAAGTGATATGGATGTGACAGGAGGGTGACAGGCCCTGATTCCATGGGGGAAAAGGTATAGAAACTCTGCTTTCAGGACTTTCCCAGATCCTGTCCTATTTATCTTTTCACTTGGCTTGTCCTGGTTTGTATCTTTATATTAAAACTGTAATCCTAAATATAGCACTTTGCTGGGTTCTGAGTTACTCAGGTGAATTATTGAACCTGGTTGGTCATAAGTATAGGAGGCCTGGGGAACCCAAAATGTGCTGCTGGCATCTGAAGTTAAGCATTTTTTAGGGGGATCAAGCTCTTAAACCTGTGGAGTCTGATGCTAACTCTAGGTGGTCTGCATCAGAACTGAACTGCAACAGTATATATAACTTCCTTGTAGACATACAACCAGTCTGGTCTGTTCTGGTGAGATAGGTAATGCATTCTTCCCTAAACACCACATATAATGTAAAGCTAAGCAATCATCTAGAAGGGCTAATGAGACTGTAGACTCCTTGAGAGGAGGGGCTGGGTCCATCTTGCTTATTATCATATGCCCAACACATAGCTCAATGCTTGGCACTGAGCAGAGAATCAATGAAGATTTGATGAATGGAAATTTTCACTATTATAGCTTTTTATTTGACTTATGAAAAAGGAAGCTGAAGGAAGTAAGAGAAAGCAGAGAAAAGATAAGGCAGTGCCAAAGACTATTTACTTGTGCCAAAGACACACAGACCTGATTTAATCCAAAGGTAACAAAGAACTAAGAGAGATCCTTGAAAATCAGTCAAAAGCTTTACCCCAGGTACAATCTGTACTCTTCAAGCTCCATGTGATTCTCCAGTGATTCTCACATTTTAACAAGCATCACAGTCACCTGGGAATCTTACTGAAAATGCTGGTAACCAACTTTGAACTAAAAAAGTGGTGGACTGGCCAGAGATGTTTATCTTCTCTCCTTTCGAAAACATCTCTAAAACCTATGATAGGAGGGAAATGAAGCACTAATACATAAAAGTCAACAGAGGAAGAGACAAAAGTATACAAGAGATTTCAACATATTTTCAGAAGGTAAAAGTGGGTGGGTGGGGGGGCATAAATGACTTGGAGCAGAGGAATTATAATCTGTAGTGGGTGTTACAGACAATTTGGAAAACAATGTGCCCTTCACAACCTGCAAGAACCTCTATACTCGAAGCACCAGGTACCCGAGGCAGGTAGGTATTAGCTATAGACTTAAAAAATAGGGGGTTCACTGTAAGTCTATATTCAGGTTAGCTGGATACCATTCTCACCCTAGGTTTCCCAAACAGGAGACTGGAGATTTAGTATCTGGTTAATTCAAATGAGAGAGTCCAGTCAGGGATATCAGTCATGGCAGGGAGAGAGAGTGAAGCACTGGGTTGAAAATAAGTAAAAACCTATGTACAGAACTGTGGGGCTCTAAACCTAATCTCCTTCTCAGTGCTGAGAACCCAAAGACCAAAAGCATTCCTGTCCCAAGCCTCCCCCACCAGGCAGCTGAAAATTCTTTTCTAGAGGGAGTGAGATAAGGACATTCAGATACTGAAATTTGAGGGTTCCCAAGTGAAAAGGGCCATGTAAGTCTGATCATCCTACAACACCAGGCAATTACCACGAACCCAGAGTTTCCATGCAGCTTTAAAACACTACATTCTTAAATATGAGTACTCATTCGTTGAAGGATCACCAAGCCTCTAACATGAAAGACACCAAAACAAAATAAAAAGGACCTGAAGGAAACAAGAACAACACTATAAGCAGATACAGATATCCCAAAATGTATAATCAATATTATAACAGAAAAGATATTGGATCCATGAAACAAATCCAGCAAAAAATACAATATAAAGATACTATTCAGAAATACAGAGGTATATATCAGGAGAAAGAAAAGAATTGAGGACAGATACCTTTGTGGAGTAAGGCTGGGTACAGAACCACTAATTTTTACTATAAACATGTTGGTATTTGATAACATGTTGGTTATTTAACTTAGATACATGTATTATTTTGATTAAAGTTTCTTTTTTAACAAGCCTCTAAGTCTGTGCTGTACCAGTGGCACCAACATCACCTGGGAGCTTATTAGAAATGCAGGATCTTGGGCCCCCTCCCTTCCCAGAACTACTGAATCTGTTTTACCAAAATCTCCAAATGATTCTTAAGCACATCACAGTTTAAGAAGCACTGCTTAAAAAAAAAAAAAAGAAAGAAAGAAACACTGCTTTAGCTGACTTTGATGCAAGTGGTCCAGAACTAAACATTACTAAACTGGTCTCCCAAGAATTAGAACCTGTAAACAGAACCAAAAGATTTAGCTCCTTCTGTGATAACCCATTTCACTCTAAGGCAATTCAAAGAACACTGGTAAAAATGTAAAAACCCCCAAATGGCAGAATGAGGAGAAACCAGACTGAAGGATGTACCACTGGTGTTTAAACATCTTGCAGCAGTATCATCTGGTGACTGCCCAGGCTGGTTTTCCACCCAGGCCAGCTGGTGGCCCATTACAGCCTGGGACAGTGAGGGATTGATTATACAGCTTTCCCTGTCTGTGGCAGTTTTGTGAAGATGAAGCAGAAGGAAGGGGCCCCATTTCTAATAGACCAGTTCTGCATGAGAAGTCAATGTAGGGTGACTCACCCAGTTGGCTTCTCCAGGTTCCAAAAGTAGGGGCCAGAAACAGATTAGGGTTTGGTAGGAGAAGGCTGACTGTCAAATCTGTTGTGAGCTAGAAATCTACCAGCTCCTTAACTCACCCTTTCTTCCTGTTTCTTCCCCTCCTCTGAATGCTTCTGCAATGCCACTTTGAGTGACTCTCTGATGAGCTGGACTTCAACTTCTGAAGCAGAGAGTTTCTTTTCAAGCTCAATCTTTTCTTTGCTCAAGGCTTCTGTCTTCTGTGCAAACTGTGCACGTAAGAAAGTGTTCTCTCGTTGCAATTCCTGCAGGAAGATCCTCAATACATGACTATTCTTTACCCTTACAGTCCCATGTACTTTACTTATCCCTACTATACTTTGTGGTCAAATATAATCCTTCCCTAAGAATTTCTTCAAGTAGTGCTTCTCAAAGTGTGGTCCTAGGACTAACAGCTTCAGCATCACCTAAGAATTTGTCAGAAATGCAAATTATTAAGCCCAATACCCAGGCCCAATGAATCAGAAACTCTGGAGACGGGTCTCAATAATCTGTTTTAACAAGCCTTCCAGGTGATTCTGATGCACACTCACATTTCAGAACCACTGGCTCAAAGCAATAATTAAGTTATAGTATAACGCAGGAACACAGGACAATACATCAGAAGACCTGGGCTCAAGGCCTGGTTTTCCTGCACTCATTCTCCTTATAACTTTAGGCAAATTCTTCCTCCTCCTTGGGCTTCAATTTTTTCATCAGTATATTAGAGGACTGAACAAGATTTTTATCTAACACCTTTTCTCACTCTATCATTCTGATTCTACAAGATGGAACATTGTCTTAACAGGCCCACTAGGTGGCAAAGCCAACATAGTACTATAATCCACCTAATAACCATCACTCCAAAGCCCAAATAAGAATAAGCTTGGTCAATAAAGCAGGTTTCTTTTAGAGCCAGTGAGAATATGGTTTCTTTCAGTTGCTCCTAGATGTGGAAGAATAAAAGTGAGAACGGCTCTAAATCTCTTGTTACCTCTGCTTCTCCCTCCATTTGGCCAGGGCTGGTAGATTAAGACTTCTCAGAACATCACCCAACTCTAGGATTGTACTATGTACCCTGCTCTGCCTTTTCTCCCAAGTATGTCCTGACACCAAGGCACCTGGACATCCACCTGATTCTACTCTCAAGCCTTTTCTGCCCCCACAAGGCAGAATTATAATTAGGATGTTTACTCTTTGAGGGCAGGGACCCTTTACATTACTTGGTCCATTTTCTAACTCCTGGATACCCAACAGTACCCAACAGGGAAGATACTGACTTATGACAAACAGAATGCCATCCTGGCTGCCAAGGCTTACCTGCAGCCTCAGCAAGCAGACATCCCCAAAGGGGGCAGGGTGGCCCAAAAGAGCACTGTGGACTTGTAGTTCGCTCTCTCGCACTTTCTGCTCCAGCTGAGAGATATGTTTCCTCTGCCTGCGCAAGCCAGAACAGAATGAGGTCCAGGGTACTGAAACAAACCTACTTGCAATATGAGCCCCCACTTTCCTTAGAAAGGTACAATCCATACATAGTAAGCAAAGACCTTGGATTCTGGGCAGTGCTGTTTTGCTGAAGGAGGAAGAACAAATGAGAAAACTGACTGAAGGGAAATAAAGAAAGACTAGTTGTAAGAACCAGCTGCCTCCTTTAGGCACTCCCCACAGCCCCTGCAGAGATATGCAACTGGCCTAGCACAACAGTCAGATTCAGGACTAGGCTGCTTATCAATGCAGCTCTATCATGAGGCAAAGCTGGGGGCCTAAACAGAGGGGCTGTGCTGCTCTTGGGGAGAACTCATTAGTGGGAGCTGCGAGAAGAGAGGCTGGCACTATGACACGCCTTGCCCACTTACTTGTCAATAAGGAGTTCCTTTTCCTTCAGAAGATGTTCGTTACTGTTCAAGATGCTGATCCACTGTGCTGGCTCTAACGTGGGCAATGAAGGAGCAAAAGCAGCAGGATGGTGGCAGATGGCTCCATTCTGAAGCTGAAAGATGTGCAGGACCAGAGGGGCTTGATCTTGACCTACAGGCACCTGAAAACACCTGAGCAGTACCCAGCTGGGTCTGCAGTCAAGGCTTACTTTGGCTCAGCCTGAGAAAGCTCAGTGTTTATGAAATAATTTTAGCTCTGATGCATGACTGGAAAGAACCTGCCTGGAGTCTTCTGCCAACTGGACACTCCCTGCTCAGAAAGGCTCTAGTTTCTAAGAAAAGGTCAGTTATCTTTCATTATCTGTCAAGAGAAGCAAACCAAGGAGCTAAATGTCCTCACTAACCAGGAAAGGAGAATGTGTCCTGCTTCCTTCCTTCTCACTCATAAGCAGCACAAAGACTTTTTTTAAAAACACAAAAGTGGTAAAGTGGAAAGAACACGTGATCCAAAGATGGTTTTTGAACCCTAGAGCTCTCCCACTTAACCAGCTCTGTGACCCTGGACAGATTACTTATTCTAAGAACCTGGTAAATTCTATATTTACCTCATCAGAGTGTTACACAAGGATTAAATAAGACTCTGTATGTTAAAATACCTAGTCTAGTGACTTGACGTTAAGTATATACATACACAATCAGTGTTGGTGTCCTAATTTTCCTTTGTAACCCTCTACTTTGGAGAATTACCTCGTGTTTAATTAGACCACCAACAGATTTGATGGCATTCATAAGACTTCATTTTCTATCTATAAACGTCCTCCCTGACAAATGTTTTCTTTAGAGTCAAAACTTACAGGACAAAACTCATACAGTTCTAAGTTCAGAACAGAAGCTGCAAAGTCCAAGGAAAGGGCCTCTACCTGCATTTGTTCCATCTGTAAACGGATCAACTCCAGCTGCTGTCGACAAGTGCTGAGCTCACAAGATCGCTCTCGGGGATGCCAAGGGTCAGGATTCGGCTGCCACACCTGAGAGGGCAGAAGCTTGGAGAGCCCAGGAGCAGGCTGGAGTCCCAAAGGGAGAACCCCACTGCTGCTGGAGTGCGGTCCATTCCGCTCACACACTGCTCCACTGCCTGGTGCCTTCTTGGTCTCAGGCAACACTTTGTATAGCTCCTTATTTGTGTCAGTTCTTGGGTTGTGGAAGTAGACTTGGTAGTGGGGATCTGAATAAAGTGTCTCCATCATTGCTGACTGATTGAGGGTGGATTCCATATTGGGAATATCAAACTTCCTCACCTCTTCTTCTCTTTCATGGCCCACTGCTGGAAACCAGGACTGCTCAACTCCATTTTCTCCGGCAGCACCACAAAGATACATGAAATCTCTAGACAGGCCTGGAGAACGTTTCATTGCACCGAGGTCTCCATTTCTTGTCATCCCCACACTTTCAGCCAACCCTGACAAAGGAAGTTTGGAAGAAGAGGGTCCAGCAGAAGAATTTGGCTTGGCAGGAGAGGTCCCCAAAGTAGAAGGCATCACATGGGCTGTTGGAATGGTTACGTGGCTTTTGATGGGCTGGAAAGAAGGGCTGCTACTTGAGCTGCAAAAATCTGTGGAGAGAATAGTTTTCCATAAGTCAAAACTGAAGCAGCAAGTTTTCTTGAGTTTGGCTGTATGCCAGACATTCTCTGCCTGTCCTGAGACCAGGCAGAGAGGGCACTGTCATCACAAGTATCAGACAGAAAAACACGGCAGCCTAACTGGGAGACGTGTGTTCTAAGATCTCAAATGCCATTCACAAGGCAAACCAACAAAAGGCAATACCGGCTTCACTTTTAACCTACACTGTCCTTTGTATTTGAATAAAAAATCTTGCCAGTCAACAAAGCTAAAAACTGAACTTAAAAAAAAAATCACTTACTTAAGGGAAATGGATTAGGTCCTACTCTTCTAAGAGCTGGGCAACTCTAAGCTATAATCCAGTCTAATAAAAATGTCCTTTCCAAGGGCTGCCAGAATCCTCTGTGACCACCAAAAGCTCCCCAGTGAAGGAGAGCAATGACTCTAAACTATCCGAAGAATAAGGCGAACTGGATGGTGCTGCTCTGTATCCAGGGCAGGGAGCACAGCATCTGAATCAGGATTCTGTTCTCTCTCCCACACACCAGATTTGACTGCTGGGATATGTGAAGTTATTCTTAGTAACTCTCAGGTTTCACTCTAGCACAGTGAGCAGTCTCAAGTGGGTAAACACTGAAATCCTCTATTTTTACATTTTGCCTTTTACTTTTCCTTTCGGTTGTATACAACTGTGGTTTTTTCACTTTTCCTTTAGACTGGATTTGTTTCCTTTAGCTCCTGCCTAGTCTTGGGAGACAACTCTCTGATTAGCCCACAGAAGGTTCACATTTCTACATATTTATAACTTTCAAAGTGCTACTCTAAAGAGGACAAGGTCACAGTATACCGTGGGGCAGTGGGCTGCAAGCAAACAACAAGACAGGAATATGAGGAAACATACCTGTTACTTTCAGCAGGCAGAAAACTGACTAAAGGGAACAAGGAATATAAATGTCTTCCTTTTTCAACTATCTCCAGTATTTTTTCCAAACCAAACACGTCTACCATGAAGAAGGGCAGACCTCAATTTGTTTCTTTTTTTATTTTTCACCAACTAACACATAACACTCGGCTAATGGGGACAGACACTAAACTTTCCCAGAACTATATGAGTATAATCAGTTATCTTCTCACATGGGTCTGTAAGCAGCTCTTTAAAAACATGGGCAAGCCAAATTATCCCTTATAATATATGCAGAGTATTTAATTTCCTCTACTCAGATGATCTTGGAGATATATAAAAGGCCATACTAAAAACAAACAACAAACAAAACCACTAGTGATTTTTTGATAACATGCATCAGCTTCTCAACACCAAGAAAGAAGGACATTTCAGAGTCAAAGAACATCATTTTTGATGTCCCAAAATGTAAGTATAGAACTAGCCAACAGAGTTGTTAAGATAGACTGATGGTAATGAAGACTTCTAAGACTATAAACTCCCTACTTGAAATCTTCCATAATGACACCATAATATTGGCTTTCACCAAGGGTCCACATTCCCGAAATATAATTATGGAACAGAGGACAGTAAGACTGTGGTATAGAAAGGCTACTGTGATGAATTTAGCAACACTTTCCATTCTCCAACCATAGCACCACTTTCTCAGGACTCAATAAATTCAGCTTTGATTCCATAATCCCCAAAGCAGTATTGCCAAAATCAAAGCCAGGAAGAAAGGTACCAACTGCCCAAGAGAACATGGTTTTTCTAATTTTCTACTGAGTGTGACTGGATGATAGAATAAAGTGAAGTCTTTGTCACTTTTCTATTGTGTTTATCTATTTATATTAAGAAAACTGCATCATTCTGACAAACTGCTATAAAATATCAAGTTACATTACACTTTAAGTCTGGTTTGTGTTTTAGAACATTCTGAAACAAAAGAGCAACACACATTTTCAAAAGGGCCATTATCTTTTACAATTTTCAAAGGCTTTCCGAATTTATTGTACAGGATATGTGATTTTTATCTAGAGAAGTTTACAGTTCCCAAAATCATTAGGTTTTTGGCACTTCAAGGATATATTTCTAAATCTCTCCTCTCCTCAACCACACGCCCTCCTCTCCAACCTCCACCCTCACTCCCAAAAGCAACTTATTCTTTCTAGCTACCCTCCTTTCTTTGTAAGGGATAGATTAAGCTATTGTGAATTGTGGTCACTTCTGCCTACATATTTTACTGGCTTATGGAAGTATGATAGTCTGAATTAAGCCAGTGACTGTTTCAGTCTTCAGCAAAAAGCCGAATGCCGTCTGAACTCTCCAGTACCCATCTCTATCTTCTCCCTTGAGAATACTAGCGAAGGATGGAATCGAAATCCTGTTCAATTTAAAGATGCAACTATGGACTATATTTTATACCAGTCATATGTGTTCTTATCTGCTGGGCTCCAAATAAACCAAGCTAGATTCATAAATAAGACTAAGACCATGGTATATAACAAACATAGCAGAAAAGACACCTTAGATTCTTTTTAAACAACTTACAGACCAATGGCTTTGGCCACTATGTCAAGGCTACAATTTAAAAAGAATGCTATGGAAATATTCTCCATAGGAATAAAAAGTACACAGAGTCACACACAATCTGTGCAACAATTTGACTGAATGAAATACAGCCAGTCAATTCAACAGGGGGAAAAATCCAGACCATTGTTTGATTTTAAAAAGGCCTATTATTTAGTCAAAATGAAAAAAGTCCCATGACTGCACATGTAGACACAAACTTAACAAGTCACAACTACATCGACAGTAACACTTTTGATTACACAAGTGATGGAAAGAACACTACAGTTCGGAGACCTGACTCTGGTTAGTTGTATGACATGAGGAAAGTTACTTAACCCCTTGGGGAATTTTTGTAACTCATCTGCAAAAGGAACTAGATTAAGTGATTTTTAAAGTCTTAGCTACCTTGAAATCTAAGATTCAATTCTACTCAATATTTACTGAACATTGTGCCCATAAACACGCAGCTATTAAAGTATTAAAATTTAATGCCAGGTGTCTGAGTCAGTACTAGTAGTAGACACTGTTGCTTTGTTTTGTTCCTTTTCATTCTCCTTTTATTTTTTCCAAACATTTCTATTCTTTTTTTAAACAGCCTTCCTGAGATAAAATTCATATACCATACAATTTTTACCCACTCAAAATGTACAATTTAATGGTTTTTAGTATATTCACAGAGTTGTGTAACCATCAATACAATCAATTTTAGAACATTTTCATCATCTCCAAAAGAAACCATTTAACCCTTTAGTAGTCATGCTCTATATCCTCTAACTTCCCTAGTCTTAGGCAAACACCAAATCTACTTTCTGTCTCTATACAGATCAGCCTATTTTGGACATTTCATACAAGTGAAGTCATATAATATATATGTGTGGTCTTTTGTGCCTGGCTTTTTTTACTTAGCATAAAAATTTTTTAAGGTTTTATTTTTTTAGTTTTTAAAAACATTTTTATTGAGTTATAGTCATTTTACAATGTTGTGTCAAATTCCAGCATAGAGCACAATTTTTCAGTTATACATAAACATACATATATTCACTGCC